ACGGGAGGTCAAGACCTACTACAGCTGGGGGGAACACCGCTCTCCCGGCACATCTTGCCTCGACCTCCCGGTCGGCTTTGAGCTGGCGGCCTCCGAAGAATGCGGCTAAAACTTTTGCGAGATCCCGAGTTTGTTTTGCGAGATCTTGCAAAAGTCCGTCTTAATTTTTTTTTCTCCCATGTCCCTTGCGGGACTCCATACCTTATTTTGTAGAGCTAGGTAGAATTATCTATTATAAACACAACTTTGGGCATCTGCAACATAAATGCACCACAGGGATTACAAGTAAAAACGATGTGTTGGAGGTGTAAGCAGGCTTTGGCATGCCATTATTTTCCCTTTTCTGAGTAAATGTCTCCATGCTGTCAACCATATTGTTTATAACCTGCCTGTTAGGTTTCATTCTCACTCGTAAATCAACCAATGACAAATGCAAGAGTCTTGTAGTCACTCACTTGTAATCACAGGAGGTTGCTGTTGCTAGCACCAGCCGTGGAAAAGTGCAAGAGGTGGGACAGCAGTCTCGACAACAGATTGAGGAAGAGAGAGGAAGGTGAAAGTAATGTGGTTAGAACCAAGATAATTAGGAAGAAAGAGATTCAAGGATTCAGGTAAAATCAATGGCTACCTTTACCTCTTAATACCTAAAGTGTAGCTTTTAACTGTCATACACTTGAAGTGCAACAACTGTACCAACCCGATGAAGTTAAAAAAAAAAAAGGAATTTATAACATAATGTGTATGCATGATAAATATACACCACCAGTCAAAAGTGTTAGAACGCCTCAATTTTAACATTTTTGTTGAAAATTATGAAGTTTAATATCTCATTGCATTCTGAAATGAATGCATAGTAAAAAAAAAATGTATACTAAACTTTTGACTCATCAAAGTAGCCACCTTTGGCAGATATACCAGCTGAACACACCCGTGGCATTCTTTCTACAATAGAAGTCAAATATTCTTCAGAAAGTTTTCCCATAAATGTGTTGCACTTGTCGGTTGCTTTGCTTTCACTATTTTGTCCAGTTCATCCCAAACCAGCTTGATGGGGTTTAAATCTGGAGACAGTGCTGGCCACTCCATGTTTTCAAGCATACCATTATGTTCTTTTTTTCCTGAGGTAGTTCTCGCATAGTTCGGACTTGTGTTTTTGGGTCATTATCTTGCTGCAGGTTGAACCCCTGACCAACTAGATGCATCGCAGAGGGTATTGCATGACACTGTAGAATGCTTTGGTAGCCGTTTTGGTTCAGGGTGCCTCTCACTCTGTACCAGTCACCAGCCCTGGATCCAGCAAAACACCCCCAGACCATCATACTTCCTCCTCCAGGTTTGACAGTTGATGCCACACACTGTGGAACCATCCTTTTGCTTCCTCGACGGCGTACAAGGATCCTGCGTGATGAACCGAAGATTTCAGATTTTGATTCATCAGTCCATAATACTTTCTTTTAGTCTTCAGTTGTACAATGGTGGTGTTTCATGGCACAGCGAAGCCTCTTTGTCTTGTTCTGATATATTAGCAATGGCTATCTTACTGCAACTTGTCCTGTCAAATCTGAGATTTGCTTACTTCGACCACTTTTAAGCTGTGCTTGAAGCTGTTGTCCTGTGAGCTGCCAATCACGGAAGCTGTTAATGCTCAGAAACTTGACCTTTGACTCAGTCGTGGCTTTGGGTCTGCCAGACCTCTTTCTGTCAGAGTTGTCCCCAGTTTCTGACTGCATTTTGATGGTGCAGGAAATTGTACTCACGGACACCATGACTTTCTTTGTATTTCCTCCATAGGAAAGACCTACATTTTTAAGTGTTATGGTGGTCTGTCTCTCTTCCATTGTCTATTGCCTTTTTCTCACCCTTTTTTGGACCAACACACTACTTTCTGCAGTACAATACTGTTGAACCGATGCTGACGAGGGGATGGTACCACAGTGGGTTCCAACACTGCTTTCATAAAGACACAGGGGGTTGTAAGTAATGCAGAAAAGTTGAAACACTTGTAGAAATTAGTAGCACCAGCTTTCAAGGCTTGATCAACCTCTATTGATGCAGAACAGCTCTAAAAAAAATTTTTTTTCAGGGAACCCATTTTGTGTTTCCTGAAAAAGGCCTTTTGTACAATTCTGCAATGTTCATTATTTTTCAGTTTTGGATAACCCACCTTTTTTTAATCTCTGGCAGTTTACCAATTACCTTTGAACCATTTTCAAGCTATTCATTTGATTCAAACTGCTTTTGCAGTGAACTGATTCAAATAATTTAACTGAAATAAATAACTTAACTTAATAACTTCTAAAACTTTTAACCAGTATTGTATAGATGAAGACTTGTTTATTCATTTAGTCCCAGTCCTGTACTTTCTAGCGATGGTGTGTGCTTACACAAGTTAGAACGTGCATTTAGTGTTAGGCTGCCAATGTGTAATTAAACTTGATGGTGATGAGAGGAAATGCAAACACTTTGAAATCACAGTTTAAATTCTTGCTAAATTGTTGCAGTTTTTTTCCCCCATAGACATTTAATGCATCATCACAGGCCACACCGGTGTTGATGATTCACAATGAATCTCACTAAAAAAACAGTGTGAATATGCATGTATATACCATAGCATAAAACATGTACAATCAGGGGTGGCCACACATGCTAATTATCCATTCATCCTCTTCCACTTCTTCAATTCAGGGTTGTGGGGGTACTTTAGCCGATCCTAGCTACCATAGGGTGAGAGGTGGGGTACACTCTGGACAGGTATCCAGAGAGGGCTAATACAGAGGACAGACAATCATTCGCACCTATGGGCAATTATGTTGAATAGAGTTCTTAATTTACAGAGAGAGACATACTATGCCTCGATTTCCACTCCTGTTTTCATTCTGGTAGGTCTTCATCTCCAAAAAACATTACTCTCCAGTTCTCTGTTTTCTGATTTTAGCTAGGTCGCTCTGAATCACAAGACTTCAGCATCTCACTTGTCAGAACATTCCTCTTTGAAGAACCCTATTCATGTTGATATACCAATGAGCTCTAATGGCTTCTATCCAATGGATCCAGTTGCAAGTTGTCTTCAAAGTATTCCACGTGTAGTGACCAAGCATAGTGCACACACAGATTACCTCCCTAAGGCAGATACCTGAGCACAACATTTGAGTCACTTATGCTCTAAATACACTGCATGTTATAAGATGAATACATTGCTTCTAAATAGGAGAAACACTATGAAAACTAAAATAAATTGTCCGATAGTGCTAAACCTTTATAATATTGCAGTATTTATTAGTGTTTATTGTAATAGTAATGTATTGTATGGTAATGACTTTGAATACATCCAGTGTTTACTTTGATATAGCTGATAGTCCAGTAAACACACTGATTAACTAATGGTTATAGAATTATCAGCTGTTATCAAATGTAAATAAATAGTAATACTTTTCAATGTATATAATGTTACAGTGCTCAGACTCGTTGGACACAACTATAAAACCTTACAAAAACCTAACCTAAAGCAATTGCAACCTGAATAAACACAAAATTCACATTTTAATTTATAATTGTATTTATGAAAGAAATGTAATTCTTTAATCACCAGTGTCAAAAAGTAATTGTGACCTTTCCAGTAACTGTTACTGGCACTTTACTGTTACTGTTACTGAGTGTTATTATTATTGTTTAATCCAAAATGTGTCAGGTGATGAAGTACAACTTCTTTTTAATACAAATAAGTTTAGCCATGTAAGCTTATATTCTGGCTGTAAAATATTAATTCTTTAAATTGATGTGCCACATCTAGACAAATTTAGAGTCAATCCAATAGAAATAGTGCCTTTCTTTAGAGCACTTCCAGAAATTTAGGCAGTTTTAGTATAAAATACCAGAAAGGGTGTTTGGATCCAGATTTGGGCTAGACATTGTCTTGTTTCCAAAAGTTGATTCTGTTCATCTGGACGTAGCGTCCAGATTAAGAATGCATCAAGACGACATTTGTCTTGGTTTATGCCTTCCATGGATATTCTATAATGACCCGAATCACATCAGAATGTCTGCTCTGATTGGTGGTCATGAATCAGTTCTCTTAATATAAATATATAAATGTTAAAGTAGGAAGTAGGGGAAGCCCAAGATGGGATGTAGAGTTGCAGCTTGAAGGAAACAACTGCTTAGATGTCACATAATAATTTGCATTGTGAGCTCCAGTAGACTTTACTTTGTGTACAAGTTGAATTGTGTTGCTGCTCTTTCTTGATTTAGCCAGTCGAATTTAAAAAGGTAAAAGCTAATCTTGTCTAACTCCTAGATAGTATAAAGCTAGTATAATTCACCTTCATCACCTTAAAAATGAGAAGCCAAATACTTCAGAAAAGTAGAGAGTATTCCTTCATGGGGGATAGGATTATAAAAGACTACAAACAAAGACTGCAATATATTGTTTAAAAAATAAACGTCACAGAATTACCACCACATGCCAAATTGTCCAAAAGAACACACCGTGTCAAGCAGTTAATGGTCGTTGTCTTCGCAAATGTTATTTTTTCAAGTATTTCAGTTGTGACCTATGTATTGTTGATAGTTTTTTGCTATTATTATAATCTGTTTTTATTTTAAAGTAATAATTATGTAGTATTATTTTTAAAATAGTCCCAAGATTGTAACATCAAGAGTTTTGGCTTACGTGCATTACTGTGAGTTTCCATAGTTATGTGTATAGTCTATAGACCTCATTTCACATTTTATTACATTTGAAAAGCAATTACTGTTGGAAAGAAAGCATAAAGATGATGGACACAGTTTAAACAGATATATCATCATACATGAAAGCAGCCAAATTCTCTGGAAACGCCTCATACCACTGCATGTTTGCTCAGAGATACGGACAATAGCAAATGAGTCTAACCATGTTTTCCCCATCAGGAAAAAAACTATTTAAGTGCTCATAGAGGGTTGGAGCAAAACAAATAAGCAATCTCTATATAAAGGGCCACTGGCCACTGTCTCACTGTCAGCTTCCTTTTTAACTGCGAGCCCACAGCGGCGACAATGGAGTGGAAAGTTGTGTGGTTGTGTTTCCTTGCTTGTTCTGTTTCCATTGTTATTGATATCCAAGCCGAGTCGGGTAAGATCAGATTCATAAGGGTGCAACTGCTTGTACAGATATTCGTGTAATGTGCATAATGCACAGGAATCTTTTAATGTTCATTAACGGTTAATTGTTATAGCTTTATGCAAAGGTCAGGACACTGGAAAAGTGTCTGTAATAAGATAGACCAGTAACTGTAATTTTCTGTTGTGTTTATTTATGGGCATGGAAATAAATTTTGGTAAATGTCTTCTTTCCTTTTTTTTGGCCCCCCAGTTTACAAGAGAACATGTAGCACATGGGGCCGTGAGCACTTCAAGACGTTTGATGGTGATGTGTACCAGTTTCCCGGTATGTGTGAGTACAAGCTGGTCAAAACGTGCGATGAGTCTCAGAATTCCCAGACGTTCTCAATGGACATAAAGAGGAAGGAGAATCCTGGAAACTCTACAATACGTTTTGTGGTTGTGAAAATTAATAGTTATTTATACAACATCAGCAAGGATTTGGTCACTCTGGATGAGCAGAGGTAAAAAGCAAAACAAAACAAAACAATGCCAAGTCAAACAACATTTCTTTTGGTCCTCAAAATTTGAAATGAAAACAACTGTACTATACTTTGTGTCATATTGTTTTTGTTTTTCTCCCAAGTATTCAACTTCCATACTTCCAGGCCGGGGTACGGTTGGAAAAAACTGAGTTTTACTTAAAGCTTTACTCCCAAGTTGGCATCACTGTCATGTGGTACAATGATGATGCAGTCATGGTAATAACTTAGACATCATTTGTTTATGAACACTGCTGAAACTTAGAGTAACTCAAGACAGTTTTTTTCCAGGTCACAACCATATTTCTGATGGTTGTTGCAAAAAGTCTTAAGTCGATCGGAATTGCTTTACACTTGAGAAATGCCAGGCATTGGTTACAGAGTAACTTTTAAAAGATCTTTGAGAAACACAAAGTCTACATTGTATTGTGGTGGAAGTAGATTTACAATAACTACAAAGGGGATAAAAGCATATTGAAGGGCTGAATAAGCAGAATATTTGAATGGAGAAATGAGTACAAACACAACTGTAAGTACTAAGAAAGCAGTGGATGTGGGTGAAGCAAGAGTAAACACCACAAGTATTGTGTAGACTGTAAGATAAAATGCTCTTTGGTGTACACTATCTCATCACTTTCAGTATAAGATTCCAGCTGTAGGTGACATTATGACAGTATCAAATGTAACTTTGTTTGTGTGTGCACGCCTATGTGCATGCTAGCATGTGTGCGTGTGTGTTGGGGGGAGGGTCTTGTTTTGGGGTTTTTTTAAGAAGAAGTATGTGTGTGTGAATGGGTGGTTGACTGAACGCGTAAAGCGTTTTGGGGTCCTTAGGGACTAAGTAAAGCGCTATACAAATACAGGCCATTTACCATTTACCAAGAAGTAACAATAAGGTTTTTCCTTTGATTAATCAGTGGTTCAATCATCTCACTGTTTAATGAACAACAATAAATAAACCTATTTCTGCATTTTTCAGGTGGAAATTGATGATGAATATGCCAATCGCATTTGTGGACTTTGTGGAGATTTCAATGGCAATTCAGACCTCCGCAATAAAGGTGTATACTCATTTCATATTAATGTGTTTCATCGGTAGTATGCAAGAGTTAGAATGTAACGATTAATGCCATCAGATACAGGTCAACAAATCAGCCCCATTACGTTTGGCAATGGATGGAAAACCGCTAGTCCAATTAATTGTGAGGACCTCACTGAAGCGGTACAGACATCAGGGAAGACTGAGAATATGACGGATTCATGCAAGGAGTTTGTGAGTTTTTGTTATCCAGCTAGCTTTAAAAATAGATATGTGGTGATGTGTATTTGCATAAATCCTTTTACACATATTAACAATGCCTCTTTTTTGTCCCTTTAAGGAAATCTTCTGCAAAGACCTCTTTAAAAATGAATCCTGGAGCTCCTGCATTCCTCTGATTCACCCTGAGCCTTACATTCAGGCTTGTGTGAAGGATATGTGTCACTGTAGCAATTTAAATGGCTCCTGTGTCTGCAGCACACTCTCTGAGTTCTCTCGACAGTGCTCTCATGCTGGAGGACAACCTCCCAACTGGAGGACTCCGAAGTTGTGTGGTAAGGTTTTATGTTGTCATTTTTATTTCTTTCTCATGAGGTTGACTCTTGCACATAAAGAGTTACATTTCCCTGCAAAATTAAATTATTAAACTTGCATTTTGAGAGCAATTGGTTTTCTTACTACCAAATTTAACAATGGCAATGTAGGACGCATACGTAGACTGAAATGTGTCTGTAACAATACTGAGTATTTTATGCACAGAAGAGTGATTGAACTCATCAGGAAACTGAAATCTAGCTGGTAATAATCTAAAAGAAATCTGGCATTCCCTTAGTAACACTGACATACTCCACTCTTTATTAGTGTCAGATGCACTACAAATATCTTGCAGTTCATAGTCTCAGATTCTGAAAAGATTGTTGGTAATGTTGGCCAGTGTTGTTCATGTGGTTTGATGTTCGGACACTTTTTCTTAAAATTAATTACTTACATGTAAAGTGAATTAAGAAGAAAAAAGATTATTAATTCAGTGGTACAATAAATAGTAATAAATCTCATCCATGTATTCTACATATTCTTTTTTTAATTTAGTTTTTATTGACATTCAGCAATCACTGTACAGTATAATGTGCATTAACTTCAATAATTTGTTAAAGATATCTGCCTACATATCTATTTTTCTTCTATTTTTAACAGAAAGAACATAAATATGAAAGAAAGAAGAAGAAAAGATTAGATAAGATTAGCGAAATAAAAATCTGGTCTGAGTGTTATTATATAGTCCATCCGTTTCTGACATGATACAAACAGGTCCCTCTTGTAATTCCCATCTGTTTGTCTATATATTCTAATCTTCGCAGCTAAACATTGTCCACCCACGATGGTATATGATGAGTATGGGTCTCCTTGCATCAATACCTGCAGATTCCCAGACACGAGTTTAGTTTGTGAAGATCACAATATAGACGGCTGCTTCTGTCCTCCTGGTTGGTGCTGTTTCTTTGTACTCATCATGCCTAAATGTTTAAGTACCAGTAATATATACGGTCTAAAATCATGTCACGTCTTTATTAGAAACTGTGCTTGATGATATTTCCACGGGAAGTTGTATTCCTCTTTCTGAGTGTCCATGCAAACATGACAAAGTCTACAAGTCCAATGAGGTTTACCAGGAGCGGGGAGAAAATTGGTATGTTTCACATTTCATGTTTTTCAAAAAGTATTATTTTCAATTCATTAGTGTGTGCTTTTTCCTTAAAGTCTTTGTGTTTTCAGTACATGCATTGCAGGTAAATGGTCTTGTGAGAGCCTTCAAATGCATGCTACATGTTCAGTTGAACAGGGTTCATACATAACCACCTTTGATGGTAAAGACTTCACCTTCCATGGAGACTGTGACTACACTCTGGCTAAAGTGAACAGCAAGGTGAATGAGTCAATGCCTCCAACTGTTAAAGATATGCAATCTTCTGATATTAAGGTGGCATTTTATATAGGCTGTACTCAAAATGCTCTATGTGTATTTCAGGATTATGTGAGTCCAAATTTTACCATTCTGGTCCATTTGACACAATGTTCACGTCAACAATACGACTCTTGTCTCAAGACCTTGAAAATTCATTTGAACAGAGACAAAAACAACGTGAGTGTAAAACTACAGTAATTATAATAATTTCCACTGAGCCACACTCTAATAGCATTTTTTTTTTATTCAGGCCATAATTTTCACCTCTGAAGGCAGAGTGCAGAAGAATGGACGGAAGGTCACTTTGCCTTATAACTCAGGTATATCAGAAACTAAGATTGTAGTTGATCATTTTATCCCAAATATGATCTTCTGATTTTTATTTTTCTGTTGACTCACAGGAGATATCAGTATATTCCATGCTTCATCCTTTCACATCATGCTCCAGACAAGTTTTGGTTTACAAATTCAGATCCAGCATGTGCCTCTGATGCAAGTCTATGTCAGTCTGGAGCAGAGCTACAGAGAAAAGACGCGTGGTGGGTTTTATATTAGCCATTAACCATAATCAGAAGTACAACTATCAGTTAATATGTATATATTAAAATATCAATATACCATGGGTCTTGAAGGTAACAGTAATTGTGATTATTTCTGTGTTGTATTTTTTTCTCACCATCATCAGCCATCATAGTGTAATTAAAAATTCTGGTTAAAAATAAAAAAGAAGAATTACAAATACTTTCAATATGCTCAAAACTGTTAGAGGCAAAATTTTTAGAGCCTTTGTACGTACTCGACTTCCTGCAATCTTTAGGTTTATGTGGGAATTACAACATGATGCAGTCTGATGACATGAGGACTCGTCAGGGGATGGTGGAGGGAGAAGAAGGAACTTTTAGTAATTCTTGGAAAACTGACTATTCATGCAAAGATGGACATGGACGACTTGATGACCCTTGTTCTCTTAGGACGGAAAATGGTAAGTTGTTAACTATTATCATCAAGCATTATTCCTTTGATTTTTTTACTGCTCAAGACAGATTTTCTGTGATATATGTATCTAATCACACAAGAAATACAATAAATTCAAAAATCTTCAAAACTGATAATCTACTTGTAGAAAAGTTTGCCAAGAACTGGTGCCCCTTGCTACGACAGCCAAATAGTACCTTTGCACGGTGCCATTCCGTGGTGGATGCTGAGACTTACTACAAGGTACAAAAAAACCTCTCTGTTTGTCTTTAACTAAATTCAATAGGACTGTAATACCATAAAAATATTCACTGTGTTCTGCAGCGATGTATTTATGCTAGCTGTAACTGTGAGAAGAGCGAGGACTGCCTGTGTGCTGTCTTCTCCTCCTTTGCAAGAGCTTGTGCATCAAAGGGAGTGTTCTTGATAGGCTGGAGAAAGGATGTGTGCAGTAAGTGAAACAGCTCAGTAATGACGTTTTATGGGCATTTTCTCTTTCATTAGTTAGTCCAAAACTATGATGTAATGACTATCATATTTTCTATAAAACAGACAAACGCACCAAGAACTGCCCAGCATCTCAGACCTTCTCTTACAAAAATCAGAGATGTCAGCTGACTTGCAGATCGCTGAGCTCAAAGATGCAGAGCTGCACCTCTGACTTCTTGCCTGTGGGCGGCTGTTCCTGTGCTGAAAATCACTACCTAGATGACAATGACATCTGTGTCCCCAAAGCAAAGTGTCCCTGTTATCATAATGATGAAACCATTGAACCAGGAAAGACCATTAACATCAACAATGACTACTGGTGAGTTATTTAAGGACTACAAATTAAACTAATGATTAACCATGACTATAATGCAAGCAATGTAATGCAAGCAATATTGGTACAAACTATAATTTAAAGTCCTTTTGTGTTGCATTGTGTTTTTCTAGCGTATGCACTGATGGAGTTCTTCATTGTGATCCTTTGGCAGCTGGCTCTTCAAGTCAGTTATTAATGATATTCTTTTTCTACTATAAAACTGATTTGTAGTTAATTTACAGAATATTAAAGTAGTTCCTGCTTCTGTTACAGCATGCACTTCTCCAAAAGAATACTTCAACTGCTCCACTGCAGACAAAAGAGATGTTGGAGTGCAGTGTGCTCGAACCTGTTCAAATCCGGACAATGAATGCGTAAGCTGTTTTTGCTGATCAAGACCTACATTTTAGGTCTACTAACTTTTTCAAAATGTAGATATAAAGTCTGCCTTTGTGTTATCAATGTCATGTTGGTTTTACCAATCATCTATTTTTCTATTTTTTGTGTTTTTTTCTTTCTATCCTTCCAGGATGCCACTGAGTGTAAATCTGGCTGTCTCTGTCCCAGAGGCCTCGTCGATGATGGTAAAGGTTCCTGTGTAAAAGAAAACCAATGCCCATGTCAGCATGGAAATAAACTTTATTCCAGTGGAGAAAAAATCTCTAAGAAATGCAACACCTGGTATGATTGATTGATTGATTGATTGACATAGCATCACTGAAACTGATAATATATTATATTAGTTTTAGTCTTATTACAAAAATTTATTTAATTTCAATCCTTTCTGAAACATTTAGCACCTGCAAAAGTGGAAAATGGGATTGCACAGACAAGAAATGTCCAGGAACATGTATTATTTATGGAAGTGGTCACTATATTACATTTGATGAGAACTCATATGGCTTTCATGGACAGATGTCTTACACTGTAGTCAAGGTAATACATGCCTTTTTATCAAAAATAATTGTATGCTCATTTTATTGTGATTACTCAGAGTTCTTTAGTGGTAACAGAGTCTTATCATATTTGTTCTATTTGTTCACAAGGTGCATTTGCATAAGTAATATATTTTTTTAGTAACATCAGCTGTCAAATAAGCAATTAACTTTACAATATTTAAAGAGATTTAACACTTGATTTTGAATAGTACAGGACAACCTGAATTTTGATTTCATCAGCAGTCTCTGTTTGTATAAAATAAACATGCTAATGCTTGTCTCTTTTAAGAACACATGTGGTAATAAAACACAGGAGAACAACTTCACTGTTATCATAGAAAGTGAGATTTGTGAACTTCCAAACCCCATATGCTTCAGAAAGATCAGGATCCACCTGGGGGTAAGGCCATGTAGCTACTGGCAAGTAGAGGAAAATATTTTTAACTGCAATCTTACATTACATTGAAAGAAATCTCCCTTTACTTTCCATTATAGGAAAAGGAAATCACACTTTTAAAAGGTAAATCATTCCTACCTGTGACTATCTACCTGTACAACTCAAATTGCACAGTAAAAAAAAACAAAATGCAAAAAATACACCCTTTTGCACATTTTTACAGTGAAAACAGCAAACAGTTAAACAGTTAGAGTTAAACAGTGTCAACCCTATATATTGAATCTGTTTGATTTCTGGATGTTTATAATTGCTATTTTTATATGTTGGAGCTATTTCTTATATTTTGTTACTTTGTAATATAATGAATTATTTAATATAGTTTAGTCTGTTGCTGCACTTACTTTCTTGGAGCAACTGTAACCACATATTTTATTTAGGGATTAAGAAAGTATTCTTATTCTGATTTTGATTCTGAAAATGAAGGGGACGTCATTTCTCCAAATGGTACTGAGATTCAGTACACCAAAAGGAAGCTTGGTTTCTATCTGGTCGTTGAATTTGACATTGGTCTAACAGTTATATCGGATCATAAAGCAACAGTTAAAATCCGACTGGAACCACAGTACTCTGTAAGTGACAGTTTAAAAATGAATTATTCTATGTATGTAATGTAATATTTGAAAACATTTCTATGGCAGCAGGAGTTCTTTGGCCTGCTGCAGCGGAGAAAGCGTCACAGTGAGCTCTTGGGGCTGCGCGGAGGCAAGGAGAATAGGTGCACAGGTACATAAATTGACTGTGTGTCTGCTTTCTCCGCTGCAGCAGGTCAAAGACCACACCCCAGCCACAATTTACAAGTGCATATTTGTGAGAATGAAATCCCTTTTCCCGTTTTGTCAGGCCCTTCCTGAAAGAGTCAAATAAACCTTTATCTTTAAATACACATCTTGTTTTTTATGTGAAAGTCAGAACACATACTTTATTACGGTGGCCCCTAGAGACAAAGCACGTACAAACTCCAAAACACTTGCAAACTCCAAAGCACATGCAAACTCCAAAACACATGCAAACTCCAAAACACTTGCAAACTCCAAAACAC